GATTCCCTAGAATGTGAGATGGTGTTCTGTTAATGAGGAAAACAGCATGTTTAACACAGTCTGACCAAAATTCTAGTGGAAGTTTGGCTTGAAACTTAAGGGCTCGAGCAACGGCTAGTATATGTTGATGCTTACGCTCAACTTTGGAATTTTGTTGAGGTGTTTCAACGCAAGACAATTCATGGATAACACCCTTTTTGGAGAAAAAATCAGGCATGTTAAATTCCTGTCCTTGGTCACTGCGAATCCTCTTAACTTTAGTTGAAAACTGAGTTTCTACCAAGTTAAAAAATGAAATGAGGTGAGGTCTGGCTTCTGATTTTTGCTTCATCAATATGATCCATGTCAAACGACTATAATCATCTACTATGGTGAGGAAATAACGAAAACCATCATGGGAAAAATGTGACAAAGGACCCCATATATCAACATGGATCAATTCAAAGGCTTTTGCAGTAATACTTCGACTCACAGGAAAAGACAAACGTTTCTGCCTGGCAAAATGGCATACATCACAACTGTTACTGTGTTCTATGTCTATACTGGGATCTATTCTTTTGAAAAAAGGAACTCTAGACTGAGAAATGTGGCCTAACCTATAATGCCACAGATTGAAAGTTGTGCTTGAGGCAACAAACTTTGACGGACTATTGACATAATTCCTATCCAGCTTGTAGAGACCATGATGAAGCTCAGCAGAACCAATCATTTGCATCTTCGACATGTCCTGAATGAAGCAAAAACAAGAAAAGAAAGTTAAGCATAATGTGCTTCTGCTGGTCAGCTTACTCACAGACATCAAGTTGAAGCTAAAATCTGGCACACACAGTACATCTTCCAATAACAAACTTTCTGAAAATTGCACACATCCAATTTGTGTAGCTTTGACTGTGTGACCTGTTGGCAATGTGATTTGCACATTGTTGACTGGTTTGCTTTTGGCAAACATTTTGGGATCACATATGACATGATCTGAAGCACCAGTGTCGAGTATCCATATCTCCTCATTAGTATGTGAATCATGAGGTAAAACAGATAAGGTATACTTGCCTGCTTCATTGTATTGCTTACTGATGAAAGCTGCTGCTGAATGCGCTGGAAGGTTGGTGTTCTGACTTGCAAGGTTGGAAGCTCCATTGCTTGATTCTGTGGACTTCAATAACTTCATCAGAGCATCATATTGCTCTCTAGGCATAGTGACTCCATCATTGGCAGACTCTGAACCCACAACAGCATGAGCTTGTCTGTAATTTGAGCCACCAGCTCCTCTTCCACTCCTAGGAGTCATTCCTGGAGGCCACCCATGCTTGTGATAACAAGTTTCCTCCGTGTGACCTTGCATTTTGCAGAATGTGCAAAATGGCCTTGGGTTTCCAAACCTTCCTCTGCCTCTGCCCCTGCCTCTTATGTTTCCAGCAGGGTTCCATTCATTTCTGGGCTGGTCTGGAATTCTCATACCCAAGGATTGCAGAGCCATGGCCAAGGATTCAACCATTTTCCCTTTCTCCTGATGGCTCCCTGCAAACTGCCTTTCATGCTGCGCCATTTTATAAAATATCTGATCCATTGATGGTAATGGTTCTGTGAACAGAACTTGGGATCTAGGTATGGAATAATTCTCATTCAATCCTCTCAGAAAATGCACAATCAAATCCCTTTCCAGATGACCTTTGACTGTGTTTATGGCTTGACAGCTCACATGACTAGTTGGTGTGCAAGTGCACAAAGGAATTGACTGGTAATTTTTCAATTCTTCCCAGATTGTAATCAAATCAGTGTGATATTCAGACAAAGTTCTACTTCCTTGCTTCAGAGTACACAGTTGCTCTTTCAATTCCACAATCCTAATCAAATCCCCTTGAGCATATCTGAGTTTTAGGGTTTTCCATACCTCAGCAGCAGTCTGGATACTTCGAACGCTCTTTCCGATTACCTCATCAACGGACTGTAAGATCCAGCTTTTGACCATAGTGTTGCAGCTTGTCCATGGCCAGGCCATTGCATCTCCCGCTTCTGGCTTAGGGATGCTTCCATCTATGAAACCCAGCTTGTTCTTGGAGGCAAGTGCATCGATCATGGCGGTACTCCAGTCATTGTAGTTGTGAGGGGTGAGCTTTTGTGGAACCAGAACCTGCCCAGGCTGCTCAGACCCATGGAGATAGTAAGGATCTGAGAGTGGATACCCAGTAGCAAGACGATTAGCGGTGGAGTTGATGGATGCAGAAGGGTCAGCGCCGGTAATGGTGTCGTTGTTTGTAGCTTGCGTAGCCATTGTTGGTTGAGTTCAAGAATAACAGAGAACGGCAGAAAAGAGAAGAAGAAGAAGAAGGCGGATGAGCAAGGTCAGGGTTCAAAACCCTAACCAGGCTCTGATACCATAACAACGTTTTGGCCAAATAGGGTTTTGGGAATCAACTTACCCTCTTCCCTTCTTCTCATTCATATATATATAGTCTGATACATTTGATTAACCCAGCTGTGCTGGTGAAATGAAAACAGTGAAAATAGAAAAGACAGAGAACATATCAAAACAGTGAAAAGGGTCGCTTTAGACCGTTGCAGAGGAAGCTCTCCCATTGGTAGATGACTCTCCTATCTCCATTCGACACGTGGCCACGGATGTCCTCTTGTTCTGCTGAACGACGACGTCTCGATAAGTTGTGGATTTGCAAGAAGAAAAACCACCTGAAGGTTCTTCTTGTCCTGCTGTTACATATGGTTAGGGAAGTTGCCAGTATATGTCACTAATATTTCAATAAGTAATCTATTTGAGGATTGCAAGATGTAATCGTTAAGTGTATTATAATCGGTGATAGGATAATAAATGTATGGTAATACATTTTTACTATAGGAAAAGTTTGTAGCAGTTAGGATCAATTGATCTAGCTAAGTATGATAGGCTCATCACGAGCCCAATATGACAGGTATGATTTAAAATGAATCAAACACACAATCTTGATTAGTCTCGCGGTCTGGCATCTCATTGTAAGATTAGGAGATGGCAGGGGGAAAGCAGCCAATTGTAAAGTCGAATATATCTAACTGTCAAAATCTTGATTGAATCATTCACTAATTAATGATCTCTCGTTGTCCTCACAAAAATAACTATTCATTATTATCTTCAGTTTTTTCATTCTAAAATTTCCTTTACTAATTTGATGGTCGAAATTAACTTTTGAACTCCGACCAGTAAAGAACTTGTTCTTGTGGAGCTAATGTCTATCAATAATCCACCAAGATGCTTCATACCCAAACCAGAGCTACATGCAAGGTGTAGAGCTAGAAGATTGTAGATGCAGATTTCACGTGCATGCAACAACTATAATTATTTCCTTGATTTCCAGTTTTCCACAACCATATCTGGAAAAATGAAGTAAAAAGGAAAAGGACCTTTCTTATTGCATTTCATTTTGAACAAAAATTTATGTGCTCAATTCATCCAAAAGGTCAATGAATGACCCAACAATTTGGAAAGTTACATTACCAACTACCCTTATATAAAATAATCAACCAAGCCACTTGTTCCATTACAACTTGATCCACCTCCCCAATTTGCTTCTAATTCATCCAAAATATAATTTTAATAATAATTATTATAATAGTAACAATAACCACAATCATTACAAAAAATTTAATTTTGTAATCAATATTAAATGTAAGAATTTTTTGCCCATTGGGATCATCACAAAATTAATTAATAAAGGAAATGTGGCCACCTTTTGTACCTTCCTGCAACTAAACCTTAACTTTTATAAACTAGTTCATCTATTTCCTTGATCTGATCAATACAAGAATGGAGAATGGAATACAATCAATACATGTATGAATACATTAGTATACCCAATGAGACAAAATTATACAAGATCTAGACTTGCTTACCTTTACACTACTACTATATAAGTTCCTGCTCATTTGGCTCTATGTTCCCATTTCTTAGTATTTTTAAAATAGCCTCAACTCTTTCTACTCACCCTTAAGCATCATCATCACAATCATTATCTCCTCTGCCTTCATTGCTCTGCCTGCTTCTGTTGCAGCTCCATCAATGGAGGAAGACAATTGTTGCACATCCCAATTGCCAACAGAAACACAAGCACCAGTAATGGAAGAAAGAGATCCAGAGAGCAACAGCAGCACACTCCAGGAGCCACTCCTGAAGAGAAACAGAACACTCTCGTCAACCCCATTGGCCATTGTTGGAACCAAAGTGTCCCATATAGAGAGCTTGGATTATGAGTTAGTACTGAGAAAACCCCATCTCTTCATTTTCCTTCTTTTCCTTTCTGGGTTCTTACAAAATTTCAGATTTTGTGATGTGGGTTTTTTCTGTTTCATTTTCATGTTTACAGGATCAATGAAAATGATCTGTTCAAGCATGATTGGAGGAGTAGATCCAAAGTCCAAGTGCTGCAGTATGTGTTCCTGAAATGGTCACTGGCCTTCCTTGTGGGAGGCTTGACAGGTTTAATTGCCACTCTCATTAACCTTGCTGTGGAGAATATTGCTGGGTACAAGATTCTGGCTGTTGTCAACTTGATCAAGGAAGAAAGGTTCAAACTTTCTTATGTTCTTTCTTTTCTTGTCCATATTTCCCATGTGGGTATTATTGTGAATCAGTTTTGTTGTTTGTTTGTTTGCAGGTATTTGACAGGGTTAGCGTTTATGACTGGAGTCAATCTGGTGTTGACAGCTTTTGCAGCTGTGTTGTGTGTGTTCTTTGCACCAACTGCAGCTGGACCTGGGATCCCTGAGATCAAAGCTTATCTTAATGGGATTGATACACCAAACATGTTTGGTGCCACTACTTTGCTTGTTAAGGTAGGATTTTTCAGTAATCTGGCACTTAAAGAACATTTGGTAGTCTTAGCAAATTATATCTTTTGATAACAATTTCAACATACTTCTATCGATATTTTACGATCATGCATCAAATAATTTACCGAGTTAAATCACATATGTTACAAAATCCACCAAATTTAACATACTACTCATTTCAAAATCCACGAAGTGAAACCATTTACCCATTTCAGTAAACCAAACACACTAGCAAGATCACTAATGGATCAAACTCTTTAGTTCTTATAGAGGTAAAGCCTTAATCTTTGAGCTAATGGTCAAGTCACATGTAAATAAGTACGAAATGGTTGCTAGCTTTCTTGACTTACATTTACTATCCTAGCATTTGACTTCTTTTTAATAAAAAGGCAGCACGTAGCCACGACAATCTGCAATGAACCTAAACAAGATGCCATCACTTCTCTTCTTCCCAGATATTTGGAAGCATTGGAGCAGTCTCCGCAGGGCTAGACCTTGGCAAAGAAGGCCCTCTAGTCCACATCGGCAGCTGCATTGCCTCCCTGCTTGGACAAGGAGGCCCAGACAACTACCGCCTCAAGTGGCGATGGCTTCGATACTTCAACAACGACAGGGACAGGCGAGACATAATAACCTGTGGAGCTTCATCAGGTGTTTGTGCAGCTTTCAGGTCTCCAGTTGGTGGTGTGCTGTTCGCCCTCGAGGAAGTCGCCACCTGGTGGAGGAGTGCATTGCTGTGGAGGAATTTCTTCAGCACGGCTGTGGTCGTGGTGATCCTCAGAGCATTCATCGAGATCTGCAATTCGGGGCGATGTGGACTGTTTGGGAGTGGTGGGTTGATCATGTTTGATGTGAGCAGTGTGGAAGTGAGGTATCATGTGATGGATGTCATACCAGTGGTATTGATTGGGGTCATTGGTGGAGTTCTGGGGAGTCTGTACAATTATCTGCTTCACAAGGTGCTTAGGCTGTACAATCTCATCAACGAGTAAGCCACACTTTCATTCCAGCTTTCTTCTCTTCATAAGTTCCCCATGGGTGAGTCAATCATAATAACCACCCACCTTTATATGATGCAGGAAAGGGAAGTTTCACAAGCTTCTCTTAGCCTTAACTGTCTCTATCTTCACCTCAGTGTGTCTCTACTGCCTCCCATTCCTAGCGAAATGCCAGCCCTGCGACCCTTCTCTGCCTGAGATATGTCCAACGAACACAAGGTCAGGCAACTTCAAGCAATTCAACTGCCCAGATGGGCACTACAATGACCTTGCAACTCTCCTTCTTACCACGAATGATGATGCAGTGAGGAATATCTTCTCCACCAACACTCCAACCGAGTTTCAGCCAATGTCTCTCGTCATTTTCTTCGTTCTGTACTGCATTCTAGGACTGTTCACTTTTGGCATTGCTGTACCTTCTGGCCTTTTCCTCCCGATCATCCTAATGGGATCCGCTTACGGCCGCCTGCTTGCACTCGCCATGGGATCTTACACCAAAATCGACCAAGGCCTTTATGCAGTGCTAGGTGCAGCTTCACTCATGGCTGGATCAATGAGAATGACGGTCTCCCTTTGTGTGATTTTTCTCGAACTCACCAACAACCTCTTGTTGCTCCCCATAACAATGATAGTTTTACTCATAGCGAAATCTGTAGGGGATAGCTTCAATCCAAGCATATACGACATAATCCTGGAGCTGAAAGGATTGCCGTTCTTGGATGCTAATCCTGAGCCGTGGATGAGAAACTTCACAGTTGCAGAGCTTGTTGATGCCAAAGAGCCAGTAGTTACCTTATGTGGAGTAGAGAAGGTATCGAAGATTGTTGATGTGCTTAGAAACACATCCCACCATGGGTTTCCAGTTGTGGATGAAGGAGTTGTGCCGCCATTGGGAGTTGCAGCAGCAGGAGCAACTGAGATACATGGGCTGATTCTAAGAGCTCATCTGGTTCAAGTGCTGAAGAAGAAGTGGTTCCTGCAAGAGAAGAGAAGAACAGATGAGTGGGAAGTAAGGGAAAAGTTCTCCTCGGTTGACCTGGCTGAGAGAGAAGGCAGGATTGAAGAGGTGGCAGTGACCAGGGAAGAAATGGAAATGTATGTTGATTTGCATCCTCTAACCAATTCAACTCCTTTCACAGTGGTTGAAAGCATGTCAGTAGCAAAGGCAATGGTGCTCTTCAGGCAAGTCGGGCTTCGCCATTTGCTTGTGGTTCCTAAGTATCAAGCTGCAGGGGTAAGTAAATTTTGGTAAAGTTGAAGAGTTTTCTGCAGATAACATACCTGTTATAGACTTATAGTATCCATTATACTTATCTTACCAGCTGCTTGATTTGCAGATTCCTCCGGTGGTTGGCATTCTGACTCGGCAGGATCTAAGGGCACATAACATTTTGACAGCCTTCCCTCATCTTGCAGGATCCAAGAGCCGAGGAAAGCACAACTAAAACCTCAAAATATCGACCTTCTCATTTCCGAAATAAGATTCCTATTCTTTCAATCAATTTTTACAGGGGGTTCATCAACATTACAAGATGGTGCCAGAATCCCATAGGCATCCCAGTTTGATATGATAAACTCAAACACATCATTATTTTCGTGTAGAAAAGAGCAAACACAACAAAATGGCTTCTGTGATCTTTTACATTCGCTTATACAGATGTATCTCAGCTGTATGCTTGTTATACACATCTTGAGCTTTTCTTGATCGGTTGAAAATTCTGCATTACTTCCTTAGCTCATCTTCTAGTCCCGATTTGGGACCAGTGAAGCTTCCTGATATATAACACCAATTTTCCAAGATGCTCATGAACGTTTTTTCTTCTTTCCTAGTTTCTTTTTCTTGAGGTTAGCTACTTTGCCCCTCTGGAAGACAGCCAGAACCTCTATGCTGCAAATGTTACCAAAATTATTTCCATAATAAATTCTGACGAAAGAGAAAGAAAAGAGAAAAAAACAAGAGCCCATCCTCCCAACCTTCAGGAGAGGCAGTACCTCTGAGTTCCAGGAAAGAAATTAAAACCATGTGCATGTTCCAACCGCCATTTGTTCGTAGACAACAGCGCTTTGCAATCCTGTCAAAGGTAGCAGCACTATTAGCCTTTGTAGTTCGTACATAGTACATACCCTAGACAAGTTGAAAGGTAAATGTCTTCCAGGCAAAAGTACCTCTTTGAAGCTCTCCCAACCACAGCTTATATAGATTAGTGTTTGAGGGAGAACTAGGGGTCCATCCGATGTTGTTGAACTCCTAACATAAACTGAAGATTCTCTGGCACGTAAGACCCATGGTCTTTTTTCTTCTTTGACTTGAGAGCTGAAATGACAGGGTAAAAAGTTCTTGTGAGAATCACAACTTCAACTGGTATTGATTTTGATTCCTGAACATCATGCTTGGAGAGCAGAGAAGTGAAGCCTACCCATCAGTTGATGGCATTGGTTTAAGATTCCGGAAGGATATAGTCTTCAATGCATCAACAAGAGGCGCATCCAGTCCCTTCCTTGGTGGATCAACAATGACTACTTCAGACCCCATGAGCCAAGAAAGAGGTTCCTATGCATTCAAATTAGATAGCATAATTAGTCAACTTTTTTCAAAATGGAAGCTACACATTAACTATTTTGGTAACTAATGAAGGCTAAGAGTTGAGACTATATTCCAGAAAACTGGAGAGTAGCACTCACAGCAGAAGTGTCTGCTTGGTGCCAGCTGATGCTGCCATCTAAGGACTTTGGAAGGCGTTCAACAGTCTTCTCAAAGGACAATTTCGACTCTTTATTAACCTCGACGCACTTGACAGATCTGAAAAAAGCAGAAAATCAGAGTCATTTAGTTTGTCGTGGCTAAACAACCAAGATCACAAGAGCATTGAGAGGTATAATTAAGGGTCTTGCCTGCATTTTCTACTGGCGGCAACTGACAACCCAATTACTCCAGCTCCAGCATACAAGTCAGCAACTGATGATCTTCGAGGTACATATTTTTGTAACTTCCACAGTAAGGAATCAAAAGCCTGAAAAGAAGCACATATGTAATTTGATAAGGAAATGGAATCCCAAGAGGAAAATGATAGTGCATTGCAATAAATATGATGAATGTGTCATATGATTTTGTTTAAGAGTTCTCACGCGTGTATTGGCTTGGCCAAAGCTAGATGGAGCCAAGGATACATCGATACCTCCAACATGCTCCCACAAATCCGTTTCTCCTAAAAGATGTCTCCACCTATTCCCGAAGATAATCTGCATCATTTTCCAAACAACTTAACTTTACGATTGTAATGGCCAGAGACTTATATTCAGCTGTTCAACAAGTTCTTGCCTTAACATTCTATAACTTGTACGCTCTATCAGAAAACACAGTTGGCAATTTGATAATATCCTTTTCGGTTTAAAAATAGAGTCAGCATAACTCACATTATTAGACGACGTCTGGAAATTAGCCCACACAGAGTGGATGATATTTTCGTTGCTCTTTGGTCCACCATTTCTCCACAAGAACTGAAATCAAAAGTATATAGCCAAATCCATATCAGAACTGAAATAGCAGGAAAAAAGATATATAAAGAGATGGAAAAGAAAATGAAAGGAAGGGCATTCAAATACCTGAGCCAAGGCAGTTAACTTTTCAGAACTAGGAGAGGTCTCATTTCTTGTATTCCAAACTAGAGAAACCTGTACTTTACCTGAAACAGGTTGAAAAAGACAACTCTTGTTAAACTTAAAACTCCCTTAAATTCATAAAAAGCTTCACATATGTTCAGTAGGTAACCATTTTTATATCTATCCGAGACAGGAAGTGATGTGTTGTGAGTGGTAACGGCCATCTGCAATACCCAAATCATTTCTCAGCATTCGAGGACAAACACATTATGGCTTGCACTCTGTACACTAATTAACATGATATCAGCTGCTGCATTCACTAACCTGCACATATCGCAAGTCACCGGTTCCCTGATCTTCATCATAAGGCAGAATCCTCAATGCAGTGATACCTATTACCCAATATCCAGAACCCTAAAACATAAGAAATGCGATTCATTTCCAACACAAATATATCAGAGAAGCATTTTTCAGACAAATCCATCTAAAACCTTTTCTCAACAGTTCAACAGCAGCATTGATTCTTGGATGATGAGCTGCAGAAACAAAAGGAGACTAAGAAAAGAGAATTCACAAACAAACACCAAATTGTGCAACAATCCAATCGAGATTTTTTATTAAACCTTTGCAATGGGGAATGTCGACCACGTTATGAGTCCCCTCCTCGTACAGTCCAATCAAAGGGGTCGCCGACGAACCCCGGACGGCAAGCTTCGCTCGACACCTCCATTCCCACTTTATAACAAGAAGCAAAGAATCAGTATCCGGGAGTGAAATCAATCTCCGTTCATTTAACTTTTAGAGCCTTCTTACAAGTCTAGAACTATCGAAAGTGAAATCCGAGACTCCGAGTTTGCTGAAGAACTCAGCCGCCTCATCAACCACGGAGGGACGATCGAGGTCGAGCTCGTGAGTGCAGCCTGAGCATCTGAAAGAACAAATCAACAAAAAATGAAAAGAAACCCCAACCCGCGTCTTATCAGAAGCACAGTAGAAACGGAAATTGTATGAGTGCGGGGAAATTGGGGAAGATGGGAAGAAAGCGTACGATTGGAAATGAGGGCACTCGAGAGCGCACTTGCTGTTCGACGGAGGAATTGCAGCTTCTAATTTGAGGCTCTTCGCCGGCCGCGAAGACGGCGGAGGGAGGGGTTTAGCGGTTGCCGGGGCGGGGAAGGGGAGGGTGGCGGAAGAAGATGCATGCCAGAAGACGGGCGGAGAGAAAGAGACGCGGGAAGAAAGTAAGTAGAGATGCATAATGCCGGCAAATGGAGTAGAGTTGCCAGCCGGCGACGGAAGAAGACGGAGGTCCTGGCGGGAATGGATAATGAAAATATCTGCAACTCTCTCTAAGTCTAAAGTCTAAACTCTAAAGTGAGCTTTCGCTAGGCAGGCTACGGAACTGCAAGTTGTGCCGTCAGCGCGAGTAAATCAATTTTAAAAAATGCGCTTAATTAATGGCGGGTAGTTAGTAACTCGTAAGAATAAGTTTTTTACTATTGGTAAATAGTAAAAATTCAAAAGCTGAAATAATATGTTTTACTTTGGAGAGTTTAGTACTTGTGTTAGTTACTTCAGGTGAATATATGCCAAAAACACTAGGTGAGGAGTAGATAATCTAAAATGGCACATAAATTGGTAATCAACAACTATTCATTGGTGAGATTTTATGTCGTTACATTTGCATACTCATGTTTCACATATCGTGGAACAATCAACCTAATAGACAATGTTGGTCAACCTATATCATCAAGTGCGTCTAATCGCCATGGCAAATGTTTGCTCTTTGCTGCTCAAACTTGATACTGCAAAGTAAACTTAATTCCCATGGTCAGAGATCGAATCCTAGTCAACGGATTCGACATGATTAAAGGACGAGGCAGCAAACTAGCACACCAATTTTAAAGGTTTGTGCGTCAGTCAACAACCGAATGAGACCAAGTGAGGAGAGTAATGGAAGTGCATATAGGCAATTATCATTTCTGGCTCTATACACCAGGTCGTGGTGAAGCTATACAGCCATAACTCACCCAAGAATACCAAAGAACTATAGTACATCCATCCAGCTGGGTGGAATAGACCTGTTTAATTCATGCAACATTACATACAAGAAAGACACAAGGTATCATCCAAAATGGGGATTCACAGGGACATAAACAGAGAGAGTCAGCCAAAGGAAGCAAACCATAAAACCCACTTTGCTTGGGCAACTTCAATGGCTGGGAGGTAAGAAAAGGAAAGCTGAAAACAGAAGGAGCCTCTTGCATTTCTTTTGTTGTGTTTGAATAAGGGAGCCTCTTACATTGCAAAGGGGAGGAAGATTCTACAAATCACAAAAGAAGAGGAATCTGTGAACGAAAGAGAGAAAGCACTCAGTAAGGAATCGGCCCAGCAGGGACTTCCCAGTTGTCCCCGTCATCGTCGTTTTTCTTGTTCTCGGACCCTGGTGGCGCGGTGCTCTGGTTCGAAAATCTCGAAAATGGACGCCTGGAAAATACGTAACGATATCAATTATCGTATTAAGATAGAACAAGCGAAACCCCACTTATTAAGCACTCCACATTAATCTATACCCTCTTGGAATCAAAGCAGGAAATCGCCTCAAGTTTCCATCACTTCATGCACGCTTCAAAACCTCCAAATTGAACAATCAAGCAAAAGAAACAAGAAAAGAGTACAGCCAGCTGGATGGGAAAAGCCTAAAAGGACTATAGCCAGGGTCATGAGCAGGCATGCATTTCGTTTAATTTTTGGTTTTCGGCAGAGTAGATTTTGCCTTTCGATACTCTCCGACCGGATGTAGACATCTCACGATGAGATCACAAGCAAAATGCCAGACGAGGGGAGATGGCAGACTTCCCAAATGAATGCAGGAATCGACAATAAAGTAGCTGCTGATGCCTAATGGTACTACTAACACACTATTCTGCTACTCATAATCAATCACAATCAGGCTAATACCGTGTGTGTTTCCCCTTTTGCTAATAACATATGAACTCAACTAACAGCTTCTAACTTCCTTCCTCGCGCAATTTCAAGACAAACCCTTCTCAGACACAGAGAAAGAGCCTAATACAACAGATTTCATCCTTACATTTCACACAACAAGAGTTCTAAGTTCTTCATTCCATCCAAACTAAACGCTCCATCTCCTCCTAATAGACAAATTCCCCCATCCAAAGTACATCTAAGCTCTTCATTTCAGACAACAACATTTATAACTTCTTCCATTCATCCAGGTCCAAGCAAAAATCCTCTCCCCTCCCATAGAAGAATTCGCCCACGGAATTCCAGTACCCTAAACCCCCAAAATTTCAAATACTCGCTAAAATGTTACAGTACGCAAACAGAAACAACAATGCATTCGCTCGTTTCGTTCAGTTCAATTCGATTGTCGTAATATTACCTCTTGCGATTCCGCTTGGCAGCGTCGCGAACCCTCCGCTTCTTCTCGTCCTGCTTGTTCTCGAAGTACCTCCGCCGTCTGCACTCCTGAATCACTCCGGCTCTCATCACTTCCCTCCTGAACCTGTTCAGGAGCCTCTCCTCCGGCTCGTTCTCTTCCACCACTATCTGGACATTGTACGACGAGTTGAAGCAGACAGTGCTCGGGGACGCCGCCGAAGAAAGCTCGCCGCCGGGGAACCGACGCGGCGCCGCGACAAGCGAAGACGGGGAGGAGGAGGTGGAAGGGAAGAAGGAGACGTGAGGCGGCGGCGAGATGGAGGATGGAGGCGAGAGGAAGGAGAGGAAGTTGGAGAGAGCGAGTGGAGCAGCCATTGATGGAATAATGGATAGCTCGATGAAATTCTGGGTGAAGTTCTGGATTAGGTAGTTTTACTATTTTTCTTGTTTTGTTTTTTCTTTTCCCTTTTTTATTCTAATTCTGAAGAATTTTGGGTGTGGGCCTGGGTTATTGAATGGGCCGTTAGGAAAATTTCAGGATCCGTAAGGTTCATGGGTGACCCAGAAAAACATTGGGCCTGAATATGGTTTGGGGTAATTGCATTGAGTTATATGCTGATCATGGGGTGGATTGAAATCTTATTCCCTAATTTTGTCAGCCATGTCATCTAAATGAATGATTTTCCCTTCAATTTTGGATGAAATGATTGGTGATTCCGTTAATTTCTTTGAAGAAATGTTAGGTTCTTTCAAATCTAAAAATATTTAACTTTGTTAACCATGTGAATAATAAAGTATTGAAAAATGTCTCTTGATCGGTCCACGAAAATAATTTCAACATATTTTCAATCCTAAATTTGTTGTATCGACTTTCAAAAGGTTAAGGTACACAAAGCTTTCATGCAGAGTACGGTTCGAATCCTTCTATTATCGTTTGGCCCAAGCAAATGCATGAGGTTGTTTATGAAAGTTTGTGTCTCTTCAAAATCCTAAGGGATTAAGCCATAGTCTCTATACATAATTGGATGTTGAATCATGTGTGTTCCTTCTGCACATTTTACTGTTCTCCTCTTGTTATTTTATACATTCTTCTCCTCCAATCCACAGTCAGAAAAAAAAAAAAACTCAAGTTATCTTATCTCAGCTTTCATCATACAAGTCTCAATCTATCATGGAAGGATTGAAACTGAATGATAAAGGTGAATTAAAATTCACCACAAAACCTATCATTGTTGCTTCAATATAAAATCGTCACGAGAAAAATATGAACTTAGAAGACAACTATTATATATTGTTACATAACATCTATTGGGTGAAACCCTTCTTGATGAAAAGGTAAACACTATTGAACTATTAGTGCTCTCTTTTAACCATCCATTAGTGTTTTTGCTGTAAACCTTTTTATCTACACTTTCTGGATGAATGGAAACCTTTTTAATTAAATTTAAAGTGTTAACCAGGTAAGAGAAGATTAGTGGTTTTGGTTTCAAAATACAGGCTATAGTTTATCACGTTTCATCTCAACTTAATAAACTTTTTTTTTTATAAAATCAACTTAATAAACTAATTTCCTACTTCTTTAACATTTAGTTGTTCTTCTCTTGACATTTGTTGCCTAAGAGCTGATTAGGCTTTTTGTCTTGTATCTAATTACCAAGCTTTGTGAGGTGATCAGCCCTTAATTAAATTATACTCAGACACCCCATCACCACACAAAATGTTAAACCTACACGATCATGACGGTGAAACTTGGATTTCCATATTATTAAATTGTTTGATTGGTTCGTATTAATGGTATGTGTATATGATGATTATGTATTATTTCTAATAAGCCCTGTCATCGTATTACCATATCGTGATACAATGATATGATCGGATACAAATCAAAATTTTGTAGTTTATTCCTTCCTTAATACAAATTTTATTTATTAATACTTTTTACATTAAAAGGGTAAATCCCGCCCTCCACCACTAGTTAGTGGACACCCAACACATAGCATTCAAACTTTTTTTCTTGATATATGCTCCCACCTTGTACTAATTATATAATTAATTAGGCGCAAAAGTTAGCAGGTGTTGGTAGACCGCTTGTTTAGTTAGTTGTTTCTGTGGGTAATTGGCTCATTGTAAGTTGAACCCATTTTATTGGTGTAAAATCAAAACGACAATTCTGATATTTAGATACAGTTAGTACTTAGTAAAAACTTAAAAGCATTTGGGAGTTTGATTACGTGGAAAAAGAATGTTGAGGATAAATTGGACATGATGCTTACCGTAAAGACCTAACAAGTTTTGGAAGTAGCCAATAGAAAAATAATAATATAATTTTATTTTATTTTGCTTTTATAACATATTCATAGCTAATAGTAATTGTATTTCATTAATTTCGTAAGTGTAAAAAAGTGATTAATTAACATTAATAAATTATATATGAACCTCTTCCAACAATTCGAGTTATTGAAATCAGTCGATTTTTTACTACTATAATCCATACAAGCTGTGAACCTAGAGTTATACCTCTATCAGTATCATTTCCTTTTGCCTTCGGGTTATTTTTTTCATGGCTCTTTTTAAGTCCAGTTTGTGGAAGCTTTATTTTAGAGCATGAATCATAAATAAATAAAAATTCAGATCTGTGATTAAGAAAATAGAAAAAGATAAAAAAGTCACCACATTTCTGTAAGAGCATGTACAACTACATAGTTTTCTTGGTTTTGTAAAATCATTTGTTTGAAAACTTCTTTAGAGGGCAATATCATTAAGGGTTATAGGTATAATATGCTCTTTTACTATGACGTTTTATTAAACATGCCCCCTCTACTATTTTTTACACCAAACATGCCCCTGTACTTTGTAAAAATGATCAAACATGCCATTTTGTTAAAATTTTCATCCAAAAACCGTTAACCAACGCCGAACTTTAGTTTGGGCGACACAAATGACTAAACTATCCCTAATAAATTCACTTTAGAATTTTTTTTTATTTTTTTTTATAATCAAATCATTCATATAATTTCACTTTGAAAAGACCCAAGGAAATAAAACAGGGGACAAAACTGACATTTTCCCTCCCATTTGCTGATGTCGGGTCTTATAAATCTCAATTCAACCATGATTGGCGATCTTTTCAATGGAAATTTTAACAGAAGAGCATGTTCGATAATTTTTTCAAAGTACATGGACATATTTGATGTAAAAAATAATAAAGGGGCATGTTTGATAAAACATCAAAAATAGAGAGGCATATTATACTATAACCCTATCATTAATTAAGACCTATAATTAAGGATATCAATTCTATTTAATTGCCAAAAGGAAAAAAGTAAAGCAGTGAAAATTGGCTTTATATATCCAACAATGGGCATCCACTTTCTAGGGTTGGGACGTGGCATCCTCTTTGTGTGATTGGTTGGATAATTAAAGAGACCTTAAAAACTATGCAATCGAGTATCGACCTCCTAAACATTTGATCTCGATCAGCACAACACCTACGAAGAGGACACATGTAATGGTGTGAGTATGTATATTTTATCTTTGCTTTTGCTCTTTCTTCTAGACCCAACTTTGCCACTTGTTTGTATAATCCTTTTGGATTATCTCAACAAACAAGATCAAGATTGTGGAGTGCTTGTAAATTGTAATTTATAATTATATTATCTCACCATGTTGTTCATGTAGAGTTTTCATTTCTCAAATTGGTTTAACAGTAAGAAAATGAAAAGTTTGCGGGTGCTGATAAGCTTATTCGAATTTATTAATGAATGCTATCATTTTGAGGTGAATATGATCAACTGATGAAGTATAGGTAGCATTGTCTTTAGCTATGATATTTAGGTCTATGTAAATAGTTTATAGTTTGTTTGATTTTATAGATTTTGAAGAAAATGGGTATTTCTGTAGACTTGATGTTCGACCATTAGTTTGACTTCGAAGGAGAATAAAGAAACAAGTATATATACCGACACAATATAAGTGCGTACTTAGTCGAAATGCTCAAAACAAGATATGTGATTCATTTATATGCTTGATACAACACCATGGTGGTGACAACTGACAACTCAAACACCAGATTCACATCGATTTGGCAGCACGTTGTGCAGAGACATCAAGAAAGTTTGTCAACAAGCAACCACCATTGAAAGAGTGTACTAGTTCACTCATCAAGTGCTCTTAAGTTGAAGAAAAACGAGGTTAAGCAATCACATAAATTATAGGATGCAAGAAATTGAACCCCTTGACACCTTAGATCCGCCATTAAACATATTTTATGCTCTTACGCATGGTTTCAACAAAGAGGGATCCCATCTTATACTGCTAAAAAAATTCTATATGCATTTCGTTTATGCTTCTTCTTTTTGGTATATTGTTGGCAAGAATCACAATTATATGGAACACTTTTTTAGTTATCAATCAAATCAATCAATCTTTAGAGAAATAAACGGAACAAAACAAAAAGAACTAATACCTAAACTTCACAAGAGAATCCTCCCTGTTCACTCTTCAGGCTTTGTTCCCACAGAAGTCAAACATTACATGCATCCTTATCAAGACAGCTATGGCTAGCTAATGAAGCTTGTTCTTCACTCCCCCTTAGTCAGAATCTTCTCTGTTCCCTCCCATTTTGTTATATATGCATGAAGAAGAAGAACAACAACAACAATGGCTGTCGAATTAGATTGCCAAGTGGTCACTGAAACTATCCAGCAATTTGTAACCAAAATGAATACTAAATAAATAAATAAATAAATAACTCGTGTATGTTCTGGGAGGTGGAGGAGGTGGTGGTGATCATAACAAATTTTGTTTTATGGGTTGGTGATCATAATATTAACAATACAACAACCAGCCAACAAGTTGTTTATTTTCCTAGATTATATTATCTAAAGGTGGAAACTTTATCCAAGCATAAAAAATTGGTTATGTTGTACTTATGTTAAAAGAGAATAATAGTGGTACACAAATAGATTAATATACTCCGGAGGTATTTAAGGCGTTTATATGATTTATTGAAATGGTGAATTTCAATTATCATAATCAATATAGTCAAAATCGCGTTTTAAAACTTAAAATAATAGTATGGTATTTCACTTACCTAAGGAAATCTTAGTTTCTTAATTCCATTATGTTACCAAATTTTTTAAAAATATATTTATCAATTGTAAATAACTCCTAAATGGTTGTAAATGTGAGCCGTTAATTTTACTAATCAAATTATCATATGTAATTCCACTAATATATGAATTATTCTCCAAAAATTCCCTCCTTCCTTCCCCAAGGCTCCTCTAACATATGGTTGTGCTAAGGTTGAAATCTTTCCCCCACCACCACCATGATAAAAAAGGATGCTTACACTCTCTTCTTCCCTAATGCTCCTTTCTTTCATATTCACTTTTAATTCTTGAGCTCGATTCCTCTCCCTCTCTACATTGCCACTCCAATTTCTGGTAAATTCCAGG